CCGGCTCTTTCCCTCATTTGAATCCTAGCCAAGGGCCCAACTGAAGCCTCCTCTAATTCATGTTGTCTTCCCCAAGTCCCATAGTGGTCTCTTTTATACTCCTGATTTTCCTTTTAACCTGAACCTTTAAATTTTTGCTTATATCCTTTGTCTTCCCAGTGAGACTGTAAGCATTTTAAGTACCAGATCCATGTGTCCTGTTGCTACTTAATTCTTTGAGCACCCTCAGACCTCAATTACATTATTAAAAATGAGTAATTTGTAACAAATTATCTTTGAGGTACCCATCAGAACTAAAGTGCTCTGGATCTTAACTACTACCCAGTGCCATGTATGCAGTAAATCCTAAAAGAACGACATTTTACCGTATCTCTTGGGGAAAATCAAAATGTGTTTGGTTGACCTGGTTACAGTGAATTCTTAATAGTTTATAATCAAAGAAAGACTAATTGTTTTCACCAATATCTGTTTATATACTTTCTATAATGACAATACCTAGATTATTGAATACATACAAACGCTGTCTTGCTAGTTTTATAAAACGATAACTCCTTTATTTTATCACTGCAGTCCTTTTATTTGTAAATATACTGTTCACTTCGTTGACTTGATCATGACATTGGTGCTCTGTGGGAGCCGGTATATATAGTAGTTAAAACCCTGGGCCCTGCGGTTCAGTCCAGACCCTACCACTTATTAGCAATAGTGCACTCAGCTATAGCCCTTAATCTCTCTGAGCTTAAGTTTCTTCATCTGTAAAATGGGTAATAACTACCTTCTTCTTTGGGTTGATGAGAGAATTTAAATGACATAATCCATGTAAAGAGTGGAGCGCAATGCGTGGCACTCACTAACTGCTAGATGTGGTGATTAGTCACTATAATGAGGTTTTCTGTGATTTAACAATGCCACAAGAGAAAATTTGCAGTTTTCACAGGTTAATTTTATGGGTGGTGTTTCTGTTAACTTTTAAAACCATTTACACCCACTATTTTATGTGATATTTTGATCATAAAATAGTAGGTTCTTTTCATAGTTATGTAGAATTGAATTGGCTAACTTCCTTGTGTTCCTCTACTTATAATTTCATAGTGACAAGGTTGGTTCAACGTGAAACAAAATATCTCCTACATGGTTTTCTTTTATTATATGATGCAGGATGCTGTATCACAAAATGAATCCAGGATGCCTCTCTCTAAATCTTTAAGATTCAAATCAGAGTTAACTACCAGGTAGAGAAAAGTCACGAAATTAAAAAAGGTACACAATATTCTTCAGGGGATAATTCTAAAATAAACTTTCGTAAATGATAAAGTATCTAGTGTAGCATTTTACTCCCTATGGCTGGCTCTTCCTAGATTTTACTTAGAAAATATTATAAAACTGTAGCCTGACCACATTGTGTCCTAAACACTGAAGGCAAACCATATTGTGGGGATTTCATTTTAACCGCAGAGAAATTGTAACAAGTCCAAAACCGCAGGACCCAAGTAAGTAGTAGATCCGGGAATAGAACTGAGAAGGCTCTGATTCGTCTTCACGTACTGAAACCACAGGTTCTGCTGCTTCTGAACATAATGACAGATCGTCTAGTGTTGCGAGACCATCAGTACATGACCCATCAGGAGCAAACTGTATGAGGACACTGTCTAAAAGCGTGCAGCCTTTACTTTCTAAGGGCCTGTGTGGAAACCAGAGAAGTAGGGAAGGAGCCATTACAAGCACCAGATGATTATCGACTGATATTTGTGTTTGGGGTAATCAGTTGCTACCACAAAGTTTGCTTCTTTGCTAAGGTGGTAAAAGAAAAGCAGTAATTTCTAACCAGGGAAATGCTTTTTTGCCCATTCTTAAAAACATTTTAGTGATTTTTAATAAAGCTAACTAAAGAGTTTACTAGAATGGCATCATATATATAAGGAGCATAAAAATGTTATGTTCCTTTCAAGATTTGACCTTACTCCCACATTTTACTTTTAAATTTTTGCCCCTTTTGCCTTTAGTTGATTTCCAGAGCCCTGAAATGGTTGTTTTGAAGGATTTGTTCTGCTCTGCTGTTGCTGTTTGGGGAAAAATCTTCCCAACTTCCTCACTCTGACAGGCCTATATTCCCTTAATATTTTATATGGATAAAAATTCCTTGTTATTATATTTTACTGTTTTATTTTATCATAGACTTTTTGCAGGATTATTTTCTTTCTTCCTGAAATATACCCTTGAAAGATTCCTTTAGTTGAAGTCTTTTGGTTTTTATTTATCTGAAGATGTCTTTGTTTCAACCCTACTTTAAAAAAAAATTCTTTATTTTCACTTTTTTTATTGAAGTATAGTTGAATCACAACCTTACTCTTGAAGAATAGCTTTGGTAGACATGCTATTCTAGGATGACAGTTATTTTCTGTTAGGCCTTTGAAGATACCCACTGTTTATTGCTTCTGTTGTTGCTATTAAGTAAAAAATATTTCGTGATTATAGGGCACTCGTGTCAGTCTTCGCACACTGAGAACTTATATTAATCACTTAATTCTGATAAACTTATGATAATATGCCATTATTATTCTCATTTATTCTAGTGGAGACATAGAAGCACAGGACAGTTAAGAATACAGAACAAGTGAGGACAGGATTACACGCCAGGAGCTCGGACTCTAAAGCCTGTGTTTTAAACCAATGCCACAGCCAAGTGAATACATAAAGAGAAAGATGAGAGAGAAATATTACTAAGTATTAAAGATATTTAAAAACTGTAGTGGGTGCCTGGGTGGCTCAATTGGTAAACGACTGCCTTCAGCTTGGGTCATGGTCCCGGCGTCCCGGGATGGAGTCCCGCATCGGGCTCCCTGCTCGGTGGGGAGTCTGCTTCTCCCTCTGACCTTACCCTCTCTTGTGCTCTCTCTCTCTCTCAAATAAATAAAGTAAAATCCTTAAAAAAACTGTAGTAATGAAAACAGGCTTTTTTTCCCCTAGATAAAGAGATCAGTACACTAATCATTACCATTGGACTATTTTTACAAGGCAGCATCAATATGCTGTGCCTGTTTTCTCATATGTAAGATACTACTACTATCTGCATCATAGAGTGGTTGTAAAGAATAAACAAGTGTATACAGACACATGCATATTAGGAGTGAAAAAATATTTGTTGCCACTAGCAATAGTAGAATAAAAGAGGAAAAGCCCAGAAACCAACCCTACTATATAACAGAATATAGTATCTGGTTACAGGTGATGAGAGGAAATGGTAGACTAGTGCTGGCGTAGTTGGGTGAATTGTCTTTTTTTCTTGAAATTCTATTCCGTAGACATCTGGGATGTCATACTTTTCTGTGCCTTCTCCTAAACATGTGATAATTTCTTCTTTCACCTTGGTAGCATCCTCAGCTCTTAAGCATTGGTGTTTCCTATTACTCTGTCCTTCACTACTGTATATAGATGTGTGTGCATCCTAATAGAGTCTCACGGTTTTAATTACCGACTATATATACTGACTTGTAAATATATAAAACAGAAATTTTTATTATCTTTTTTTAAAAAACTACCTCAAAATAGTAAAAAAAAAAATAATACCAGATGTAGAAATTATTTCCTAAATTGATGATATCACTAGAAGAAGTTTTCGATTAATATTTAAGGAAACATTTGTGGAGAAGACTGTAATAAGCATACCATCAAGGACAGCAACTATAAATAAAAAGATAGATCTGACTACATAAAAATGTAAAATTCCTGGGGCACCTGGGTGGCTCAGTCGTTGGGCATCTGCCTTTGGCTCAGGTCATGATCCCGGGGTCCTGGGATCGGGCCCCACGTCGGGGTCCCTGCTCAGCGGGAAGCCTGCTTCTCCCTCTCCCACTCCCCCTGCTTGTGTTCCTGCTCTCGCTGTCCCTCTCTCTGTCAAATAAATAAATAAAATCTTTAAAAAAAATTTAAAATTCCTTTTGTAAAAACAAACAGGAACAGTGTACATGATTAATGGTGCAGTATACTAGAGTAGGGAAACCATATGCACATGTAGGAGACAAGTGAAGAAAGCAAGATTTAAAAGGATTGGGAAACATTAGGAGTAACCATTGGGTGTACTGGAAGTGAAAGCTGACCCAGAACAAATAAGAGGAATCACACATAGAGTAGCAGTGGGAGTCTAGCCCAGGGTAGAGACCATAAATCGGTAATAGCAAGGATGTTCATGGCTATATGGCTTTCTCTGGCAACGCTTAGAATCTTGGGTTATCAGTAATGTTAATTTCTTTTGCCTTGGATAGGTTAGGTAGGTGGATGATCATACGAATAAAGGGTCAGACAAGGAAGCTGTTCATATCAGAAATAAAAATCTGTCCAATATACTTCAAAAGCTCAAAGCTCTACAGTGTTTGGCCATTGCTGTAGAATAAAAACCAGAACCCTAGGATTGAATTTTAGGGTTTCCAATATAAAATTCTGACCTTTTCTTTTAGTACACCCTCAAGTGTATCACCACATGACTGCCAGATAGGGCTTCTTGCTATTTTTTGAAAAATGTTTTCTCTTTGAGTTTTCACCTCAATTGTGTTGCTTCTAGTATTTACCTGGCTTGTAAAAACCTATATCTCTTTTTTTGAAATCATAGCTGTTCCTTAAAACTCAATTCATTTATTACCTGGCCTGTGACCCCAGCCAGAAGTGGTATCTGTCCTCTCAACATCTATAATTCCTTGTTTATACCACTTTTACATTACTTTTCATTTATTTCAAAATACTTTGTTTATACTAAATTTTAAATTATTTGATGGTAGGGACTGTATTTTGTCATTTTTTTATTTCACAGTGCCAACACAATGCTTTTCCTATAGTAAGTATACAGTGAATATTTTCTGAAGGACATTGTATTACATATTTATACTAAGTAGCAAGATAGAACCTTTAGAAGAAAATGTTTTGTCTTTTCTATAGGCTAATTTTAAAGGTTTATTTTTGTATGTTATTTCACGGACCTCTTCTCATGTGAATGTTTTGTCTTATAGGTATGGGATGAATTGCCTTATTCAGTTTGAAGATTTTGCCAATATAAATGCCTTTCGTCTCCTGAAGAAATATCAAAACCAGTATTGCACATTCAATGATGATATTCAAGGTAAGCTGGATGGGGAGGGAAGTGAAGATACAAGACAGGAGGGCCCAGATACTCCCATGAAGTTAAAGAATAGATATAATGGGAACAATTGAATAAACTGGAAAGGTGGGAGATTGTAGACCATGAGTGAGGTATTCTAATATAGTATTTCCATGAAGGATTAGATCTGAGTGATGGTAAGCACCAGCATGGAACTTTGGAGGGAGACAGCCAAAGTAAAATAAGATGAATGCTACTGGAAATGAGGTGGTCAAAGAAAAGCTTAAATGTAAGATGAGGATGATAATGTTTCTCTATCCATAGTTCGTTACTGAGAACAAATATTCATTTGTACTTTATGAACTAAAATGTACTTTACAAATATAATTTTTAAAATTCACTATGCTTAAAATCTATGGTGTGACATAGCTAGATAAATGTGTTTAAAAATGATGAGTCTCTGTACCTTTTGGGGTACACTAAAGCAATGGGTTGAATCTCTCTTTTCCCCAGATCCTTTGTGATGTTAATCACATTGTTACTTTAGTGCCATTTTCATGACAGAGACGCTTTACATTATTTCAACTTTGTTTTCTTCCTGTTTTATTAAATTTCTTTTTGCGAATTTATTCATGAGAAGTGAATATGTGGAGGATTTCAGAAGGGAAGAAAAGAGTCTAATTTTACACAGCTATAGCCCTAGCTTGAAGATACATGTATAATGATAATGTGCCTTCGATGCTGCAAACGGATTTTGTAGACCAGTGTCTGAGTCACTTACCAGTCCATTTTGCAGTGGTCTCTAAAATACGTTAGGGGTGGGCTCCTGGGTGGCTCAGTTGGTTAAGCGACTGCCTTCGGCTCAGGTCATGATCCTGGAGTCCCGGGATCGAGTCCTGCATCGGGCTCCCTGCTCAGCAGGGAGTCTGCTTCTCCCTCTGACCCTCACCCCTCTCATGCTCTCTCTCATTCTTTCTCTCAAATAAATAAACAAAATCTTAAAAAAAAAAAAATACGTTAGGGGCGCCTGGTTGTGTCAGTTGGTGTAAGCATGTGACTCTTGATCTTGGGGTTGTGAGTTCGAGCCCTATGTTGGGTGTAGAGATTACTTAAAAATAAAATCTTAAAAAAAATAAAATAGCCACATAAACTATTAAACAAGCTGTCCTTTCTTTAATATTCTTATCTTTTGATTTTGTGGGTCCCACAGAAATGTCCATGCAGAAGTTAAAAGACTAATATTACATACTTTTGAACCATTATGCAGAATTAATAGGCATCAGAGTTCAGTTTAAGACAAAGAATGCTAAATTCAAATCATCAAACAAAATGAACATTTTGGAATTAGGGTCAGAACTCCTATCAACTAGGATTAAGAATTTAGAGGTCACGGCCTGGGCTGCATCAGAATTAAAGTCAGGAGCACAGAAAATCTGAGGCAGATGCTAAGCCAAGACCAAGAGCACTACATGTGGAGTTGCCTTAGAGGCTCCACTGCAGAATATTCCCTCCTGCACCCAGCGGGTCACCACAGTGGAGGCATTAAATAATTAATTTTTCACGCCAGCTAATCTGTCCTAAAATACCATCTGCATATTTACGTATTTACACGTAGGAATTTAAGAGTATTACTGCCTTAGCCAACAAAAAGACAGATTTGAGAAAAATGGGCCCAATCTCTGACTAGAGAAAACTTTTGGCAAGTTAGTGGGGTTCTGATTAGAAATGACCAAACTATTTTGTGCATTTCTCCATACCAAAATAGTGTCCCTAGTGACACTTTTTCCCCATATGTTTCTATTTTACCTTTTTAACCTTATGTTTTTTGCCATTTTTCTCACAATGTAATACTTTCCCCACTGTGGGCATAGAAATTGCATTCCAGTGCCAAGGAAAATAATTATGTAGCTATTACAGCCTCACCATGTAAATAAATGTTTCACACTGAACCCTTGGGAGAACTTTTTTTTTTTTTAACAGATACGTTATTTAAAGATAGTTTATGAAAAGTATTTGATTTTAAAAATACTTAAAATTCTGTATTAGTGATCTAAAATAATTTTAAATGATAGAGATTTTGGTCTTGGATAGAGATTTAGACTTTAATGCATTCTAACTATAAATTATTTTTAACCAGAAAAGTGTGCTGGTTAAATCTATTAAGAAATTGGACATTTAATAATATAATCAGGAGACCATCAGAATTCAGCAAATTCAGATCAAAATAATAAGGTCTCATCCTCTGGTCATTTAAAATCATTATAAAAAGAGTTGTTCTCATAATGGCCTCTCTGGAATGGCTATTCTCTACCATGACATTGTAAATATTTTATGTAGAAGTGTTAGCCATAATAAACTAGTTTGATTATTAAGATTATTTATTTATTTATTTATTTATTTATTTATTTATTTATTTATTTATTTATTTTAAAGATTTTATTTATTTCTTAGAGAGAGAGAGAGTACAAGTAAGCAGAGTGGCAGGCAGAGGGAGAGGGAGAAGCAGGCTCTTCGATGAGCAGGGAGCCCGATGCAGGGCTTGATCCCAGGACCCTGGGATGATTATTAAGATTTTTTTAAAAATAAGGTAAATGTAGCCTAATCTTATACTAAATGCTTTGATAATTGAAAAGATCAAAATCAGACATGGTAGAACAGACTTTTCACAAAAGAAGGGAGACCACTGGCCAGAAAACAGTTTAATAGCTTCAGAATTTAACGCCACTAAGTTTTAGAAAATGTATAAAACAGCAAATGAGAAACTGATTTTCTCTATCAAGCTGGCAAAAATTTTTATTATAATCCCAGTGTTAACAATGCTGTAAGAAGATAGGCACCCTTATATATCTATGGAAATATAAACTGGTGCGACTCTTGGGGAGGCAGTGTGTGTCAAAAACCTTAAAAGTCTACAGCTCTTTGATCCAACAATTCTCTTTTTAGAAATTTATCCTGAGCAAATAAAGGTGTGTAAAGAAAATGTACAAGGGTATTTATTTGTTTATTTTAAATATGTATTTATTTTTTTAATTGAGATATAACTGACATAGAACATTGTATTAGTTTTAGGTGTCCAACATAATGATTTAATATATGTATATATTGCAAAATGATTACCATAATAAGTTAACATCCATCATCACCACGTATGGTTACAATTTTTTTTCTTGTGATGAGAACTTTTAAAACGTACTCTTAGCAACTTTCAAATGTACAATACAGTGTTGTTAACTATAGTCACCATGCTGTACATTACATCTGCAGGACTTACTTAGAAGTCTGTACCTTTTGACAACCTTAATGCCTTTTCCCACCCCTCACCCCTAATCTCGAGTAATCTCACCAATCTGTTCTCTATATCTATGAGTCTGTTTGGTTTTGGTTTTTGGTTTTCTTTTTAGATTCCACATATAAGTGAGCTCATACAGTATTTGTCTTTCTCCATCTGACTTATTTCACTTAGCATAATACCCTCAAGATCCATTCCTGTTGTCGCAGATATTAGGATTTCCTTCTGCTGAATAATATTCCATTGTGTATGTGCCTGTCTGTGTAATGTATCACATTTTCTTTATTCTTCCATCCATTGATGGACATTTACATTGTTTCCATGTCTTGGCAATTGTAAATAATACTGCAGTGAACATGAAGGTGCAGATATCTTTTCAAGATAGTGATTTCATTTCCTTTAGATACCCAGAAGAGAAATTGCTGGATCATATGGTAGTTTTATTTTTAATTTTTTGAAGAATCTCCATACTTTTTTTCATAGTGGCTGTAGCAGTTTACTTTTCCCCTAGCAGTGCACCAGGGTTCCCTTTTCTCCACATCCTTGCCAACACTTGTTACTTCTTGTCTCAGGTAATAGCCATTCTAACAGACACAAGGTAATACCTCTTGTGGATTTGATTTGCATTTCCCTAATGAGTGATGCTGAAAGCCTTTTCATGTACCTGTTGGCCATTTATATATCTTCTTTGGAAAAATGTCTGTTTAGATAAGGATATTTACTGTTATTAACATTATTGTTAACATTATTTATTGTTAACATTATTATTGAGTGTTATTTTTTCAATTAATTATACTCTGATCACAAATGATCTTTTTTAAAGCATGCATATTCTTGTGATTCAAAACAAATATTTCAAAAGAATGATATACCTAAGAAAAATTGACATGAGTGTTTTATTTTAAATTATTATAATAAAAACAAAGACATTTAGAAGGTACTTGTCTCATTGTAGAAAATACAGGCTTTAAGCCTTAAAAATAACTTTCCAAACTCATTGCCAGAATTAAAATTTCACATCACGAAAATGTTAATAACAAATCTTAACACACTAGAGTTGAAGAATAAATAAAACCCTAATTATTTTTTTTACCAAAAAATCATGAACTAATGAATAACAATAGAAAGTTAACATTAATTTCAAAAGACATCGAAAAAAATAGTAAAGATGGTTTGTAAAAGGCAGCATTATATTTGTTCTGTTCTTGATCAATTGAATGCAGTAAATTATTCTGGAGGAGCCTAAACTATGGCAGTAATAGTTGTAAAGCAGTGCTGATATGAAGCCCCCCCCCCCAATAGTGTTTTGTTCCTGATGTAGGTGGCTCACAGAAGTGTCCCAAGCTTCTGCATTCCCATACACAGTTTTCACTTTGTGAAGTCATGGGTCATCTCGGTGCCCTCAGGGCCTTGACCTTCTCTCTGGAGGTGGCACATACTTGGTAATGCAGCTCTCCACAGCACTGGGGCCAGTAAAAGGCTGCGCATGGTCATACTGAGGATTAGGAGGTATGCCTCTGAGAAACGAGGCCTGCTCTGTGTGCTTTGCCCCCAAGATGGAAGAGAACCCGCTCCCTTGGGCCCCCGCAGCCACGATCCACTTGACATTCACGCTGGTCTTTAGCAGGAGGAGACAAGAACCAGAGATGCCAGAGCAAACTTCATGATCACCACCGACAAAGTAGGGACCTTCAGGATGGTGAGCTCTTACACCACAAAAGTGGGAAACAGA